CACCTCGCGGGCACAGACCGGGCTGCCCTCGGGGCCCAGGTCCGGGAGGTGTGCGTGTCGGGAGAGGGGGCGGAGGGCAGACATGGAACCATCCCTCCCAGCGCGGAGGGCAGCATAAAAATGACGGTGTGTCCTCTGATGTTTACCTTAGGACACAGTCACCTAGTGAAGTGTGGGCTTGTCTCCATTTTGCAGAGTGTGAAACTGAGGCTCGGGAAGGTGGAGGAGCCGGGGCCCGAGGTCCGTTTGGCTCCCCGCCCTGCGCCCTGACTCACTGCGGGCCCCCGTCAGTCGCGGATGTCCCCTCACCCCGGCCAGATGCGGGCGCTGCAGCACGCCTCAAGCGCCCGGGACCGACCAAGTCGGAATCCGCGGGACGCAGTGGTCTCTGCCCCTCCCCGGGGCGGTGGTCCGGTGACGTCACCGCCTTCTTAAGACCCCCGCTCCGCCCCGTCCCCGCACTCGCGGCTCTTTCGGATCTCGGCAGAGCCCCACCTGCTCAGGTGAGCCTCGGGGCAGTGCGCGTGCTGGGGAGGAGACGGGTGCCTCGAGGAACGGGGTGCAGGGTGCGGGCAGCATGGAGAACTGGGCTGATCTGCCGAGTCCCCGGCGGGGGCAGATCGGGTCCTTTGGCGGCTCGAAATGGCTAAACGCCCCTCCTCTCTTCCCCTGGGACAAAGGCCCCGACACCCGGGCGCCCTTCCCCCACCTGCATGCGCGCTGGGTCGGCCGCCCCTCCCCCTCACCTGCGGGAGCCGACCCTAGGCCCGCGCCGCCTTTAAACCACCCCGCGCGCGCTGCCCCCGAGAAGATGGGGGACACCTGAGGACACCCGCTGTGGGCGGGACTTCGAAGCGGGGATCGGGAGCGGTAAGGAGCGTCCTCGGACAGAATCGAGCCGATAGTATGTGGGAAGGGGACGGAGTGGAGGGCTGGGGAGAAGCGCGAGGTGCCTAGGCTGGGGGGGGCGCGGCTTTACCTTGGCCAGACGCCTGGAGGGGTAGACCCGGGACTGGGATGGAAGAGGGCTGCCCCCCATCCGGCCTCCCCCGCCCAGGTCTTCAGCTCGGGCCTAGCGGGTGCAAATAAAAGTGAGTGGAGCGTCTGCTCTCTGGTCACACTGCTGGGCTGGTGCTAGGTTTAGGTCCAGGCCGTGGCCCGGAACCTGTGGGCAATGGAGAGCCATAACAAACACCTGCACAGAACTGATCTGGATGGGGTCCTCCAACATGAAATGAGATGTGAGGGGAGACAGGCGAGGGGCTGCTGTAGAGGAGCTGGTTCACTGGATAGACCCCAAGGATTTCATCTCCTTTTCGAGAAGTTGTGTCTTGAGAGGGTGGCATTATGGGAAAGAATACACAAGAAAAATGTCCCCGACCTCGGCAGTATGCTCTAGGGCCCCAAAGGGAGGGCAGGAGAGGGGAACCCAGGGGGACAGCCAGTGGCCTTAGGGGAGGAGAAGCTGTGCTGGGCAGGCCAGGTGGGGACTGGTGGGCCACACAGCACAGAAGATCTTTAAGATCAAACTGGTAGCCGCCTGCCTGAGGAACCGAACCATGTTGGGGTGAGGGGTTGGACTCTCCCGTTGGGCGGTGGGAAGGAGGTTGGATCGCTAATCTTGATGGCTTTGAGACTGAAATTCAATAGCTAGACTAGAGCCAGCCTCCCATCTGTGCGCTCTGTGGAAACACCTGCAAACTTCGCTGTCACTCCATCCTCTTTTGTCTCTTTGCTGTTTGATCAAATGTACCCATAGTGGCTGAGGCCAGGGACTAGCGCTGGCTTAGACTTTCTATTATCTTCCCTTTGTGCTCAAAACAGACTGTCACATAACTAGGGGGAAAGAAATATACGCTAAGGCATTCATGCTCATTTTGCCCGTGAGAAAATGAGGCTCGGGGCAAGACATGGCACCCCAACTCCCAAGGTTTATACTCCTGGTGTTCTGTGTGGCCATGGCATCGGCCATGGGGATTAGCACTCGTTGGAGATGAGGGACCTTGGCCAGCTGGTCTTAATATTACTCTGCTCTGTCCCTAGGGCAGCTCCTTTCAACCTCAACCTCATCATGGCCTCTGCTGGTCTGCAAATCCTGGGGGTCGTCCTGACGCTGCTGGGCTGGGTGAATGCCCTGGTGTCCTGCGCCCTGCCCCTGTGGAAGGTGACCGCCTTCATCGGCAACAGCATTGTGGTGGCCCAGGTGATGTGGGAGGGGCTGTGGATGTCCTGCGTGGTGCAGAGCACAGGCCAGATGCAGTGCAAGGTGTACGACTCGATGCTGGCGCTGCCCCAGGACCTGCAGGCTGCCCGAGCCCTCTGCATCATCACCCTCCTCATCACCCTGCTGGGTCTGCTGATCTACCTCGGTGGGGCCAAGTGTACCACCTGTGTGGAGGACAAGGACTCCAAGGCCCGTCTGGTGCTCACCTCTGGGATCATCTTTGTCATCTCAGGGGTCCTGACCCTGATCCCCATCTGCTGGACGGCCCATGCCATCATCCAGGACTTCTACAACCCCCTCGTGGCAGAGCCCCAAAAGCGGGAGCTGGGGGCCTCCCTCTACCTGGGCTGGGCGGCTTCTGGTCTTTTGTTGCTGGGTGGGGGGCTTCTGTGCTACACCTGCCCCTCTGGGGGGTCCCGGGGCTCCAGCCACTACCTGGCCCGATACTCAGCATCTGCCCCACGAGCCATCTCTCAGGGGCCCTCTGAATACCCCACCAAGAATTACGTCTGATGGGTAGGAGGACGGGGCTCCCTTGACCATGGAGCTTAACCCCTGGGCTGGAGTCATCAGAATGCACGACAGTTTCTGGGTTGCTTTTATCTGGTTTTTCCTTTTAATTGGACAAGGGGGTATTTTTCTTTTAAGCCATTTGTTAAACACCAAACCAAGAAGAAATTCAGTCTCACCTGGGCTCTGCTGCTGGCAGTTCTCACTTTGGACGATGAGACCAAGGAGGCGACACTTCAGTTTCTCCATCTTTCTCCACCTTGGACATTCCCGCCTTGGAGGCCGGCCTGGAGCTGTGACCCTGGGTGAAGACTGTTTACTGGCCAGGTCCTTTGTGACAACCAGGTGCTGATAGTCTGTCCCCAAGAGTTCCTGCTCTGGTGGGGCAGGGCTTGCAGGGATGAGCCCCGCCTTGGTCAGGCCTCTGTGACCCGGAGCTCGAGCCTCAGTACCCTTGAGGAGAGCAGGTGAAACGTTACCCAGAACCACTTACCTCCAAGGATTCTGACCTCTGGCTCTTCCATGCTTGTCTCCGAGTTGCTTCCCAACCACGCTGTAGACCCCTGACCCTCCCATCTGGAGGCCCTGCACACTTCTGCCACGGCACACCCACCCACTAGTTTTTACTAAATAAAGAGTGTTTTGTTTTGTTACTTGCCATTGGAGTTGCTGGGAGGCTGTTGAGATCCAGCCTGGAATAAGGTGAACATGAGCGGCTCACCTCTGTTGCTCACCTGCCTAGCACGGCCTGAGTGAGGTGTGAGGTTACGGGCTCAGCAGGACCTGGAGAAGACCTTGGCCTGTCAGCCCGGCCACCTGGTCTTCCCTGCCCAATCACAGGTCCAGGCAGCAGAGGTACAAATACTCTTTATTCTGGGAACAGGTGGGGCGGGGAGTGGGCTGGGCCCTGCTGGCCTGGAGGAGATTGGCTTCTCCCAGAGGGCCTGGCCTGGGTCTCTGAATGAAGGTGGTGGCCAGGCTGGAGGGGACCAGCTCCAGGGCCAGCAGAGCATAATCCTCTCCTTGTTTGAGCCAAGGAGTACAGTCCTTTGGGGGAGGCCCCGGTTCCAGGGGCAGGGGAGGCCTCAGGAAGGGGAGGAGAGCCAACGTGGGTCCAGGAAGCAGAAGACAGCAACTGGTTGGGGGAGCTGGGTGGCCAGGAGGTGGGGACCCCATGGAGGAGGATCTGGGCTCAGCCAAGCCATCTGAGACTCGCCCAGCAGCCAGACCTGGCTGGAACGCCTAGAAAGTAGGTTTCATGTGGGGAAGGGGTGGAGGGTAGAAGGCGGGGGTTGGAGAGGGCATCCAGCGCAAAGTCAAGGCTCTGAGCAGTGGGCTTCTGGAGACACTTCACACATAGTCCCTCTTGTCCATTCCAGAGGTGCCAGAGCGGGAGGGGATGGAGTAGCCCAGCCTGGGGCCTCTGGGCCGGTCGATCTGGGGCGGGGGGCATGTGCAGCAGAGGAGGCCCCCGCCCAGCATGAGCAGGGCAGCTGCTGCCCAGCCCAGGTAAAGGGAGGCCCCCAGCTCCCGCTTGAGGGCCTCAGCCACCAGGGGGTTGTAGAAGTCCTGGATGATGGCGTGGGCCGTCCAGCAGATGGGGATGAGAACCAGGATGCCTGAGAGGACGAGGATGACCCCCGCGGTGAGCACAATTCGGGCTTTTGCAACTTCGTCCTCCACACAGGTGGTGCACTGGGCTCCCGTGATGGCCACCAGCAGACCCAGCAGGGAGAGCAGGAGGGCAATGACACAGAGGGCTCGGGCGGCCTGCAGGTCCTGGGGCAGCGCCAGCATCGAGTCGTACACCTTGCACTGCATCTGGCCTGTGCTCTGCACCACGCAGGACATCCACAGCCCCTCCCACATCACCTGGGCCACCACAATGCTGTTGCCGATGAAGGCGGTCACCTTCCACAGGGGCAGGGCGCAGGACACCAGCGTCCCCAGCCAGCCCAGCACAGCCAGGGTCATGCCTAGGAGTTCTAGGCCAGCTGAAGCCATCTGTCCCCTCGGTTAGGTCTTCTCCGCTCTCGGTGGCCTGGCTAACTGAGGAGTGCGGCGTCCGACGCTGCCACGCAGGATCTTGGTGCCTGCCGGGAGTGGGCGGTCCGTGTCCTCAGGCCAAGACAGTCCTCACATTTGTGAGCCTCTTGCAAGGCACCTCCTCGCTCTGTGCCCCTCGCAGCTGTGTCCCTGGTCCCCAACAAACAAAATCGCACAGTCCTGCTCAGTTGAATGGCTGGTGTCCCCTTGAGGTGCCTGGTGGCTGCTGCTTCTCCTGCCACTCTGCAGACGCGTTCCTACCACCGCCCGTCTGACCAGCTACGCAGAACCTACCCTGCGACCCACCTTCAGGCTGGGGAGAGCCTCATCCCTCTGGCTGGCGCAGGATCACCAGGAGCAGTGCAGCCTTGTCTCGGGCACCTGAGGACTGCGCTCCTGCCCACAGACATGGGGTTTTAAGGCCGAGGCAGGGGAGGAGCCACCAGACTAGGACCGGGAGGCTGGTGCTGTGGGAGGAGGCGGGGGCGGGGCAAGGGGGGGACCCAGAGTGTCGGGGATGGGGAAAGAGCACATACCATGACCGGGAGGAAAGCTGGGGAGGAAAGAAGAACATCCATGCCTGTGGGAACCCAGACACAAAGGAATGCTGAGGTCTGGCCTGGTAGCTCACTTGGCCAGAGTGTCCTCCACATGTACCACGGCTTGGAGTTCCGTCCCCGGTCAGGGTACATGCAAGAATCAACCAATGAATGCATAATGAGTGAAACAATAGATCCCTCTCCCATCCTCTTTCTAAAAAAAAAAAAAGGAAAAAGAAAGAAAGAAAGAAATGGTGAGTCTCCGGGAGAAGAAGTGGAGCTCACAATGTAACAGTTGGCTCAGGACAAAGAAGTGGGAGAGTTGGGGGCTCAGCCCGCCTCCTGAGCCTCCTCCACCCCCAG